ATCTTCCCCAAAGAATTAAAAGCATCATACCACAGCGATATATGAACACCCATGTTTATAGCAGCAGTTTGTAATAGCAAAATCTTGGAAACAGCCCAAATACCTGTCAATTGACAAGTGGATTAAGAAGATGTGGGCTTTTTTTTAATACAGTGGAATACTACTCAGTCATAAAGAAAGGGAGAGTCATAGCTAAATTGATCCACCTTAAGACCATACTCTTAAGTGGAATAAATGGGACACACATGTGTAAATACCGCATTGTTTCTCTGGTGTGAGAAACTGAAAGTGTAAATGAGGACCAAAATGTATAAATGTATTGTGAAATAGGAAGAAAAGGTTCAAAGGGGAAGGGGAACTAGGGAGGGAGGACAGGGGAAAGGAAAGAAGGAAATATGAGAAAAGGAGGAAAAAATGGAAACAAATCTTTTGTAAATAAGGAGGGGTGGAAGGTTTGAATGGAGGGAAGGGGAATGAGAAAAAATAAGAACCAAGATATATCATGTACAGGTACAAATTCCCAGTGATGAACGTGATCATTATGTATACCTAAAATGTACCAATAATCTTAAATTTTTCTTAAAAGTCTCTGTATCCAGTGAATACATCTTTGAAAATGAAAACTATAGTCTAGATAAAATGGCCACTTCCTTGAAAGACATAATATGCAAAATGCACTCAAGAAGAAGCAGGCACTCTTAGTAAGCCAATATCTATTAAGGAAATGGAATTAAGATTTAATAACTTTCCAAAACAGAAAGCACCAAGCCTAGATGGGCTCTCAGCGAATTCCACCAACCATTAAAGGAAGGAAGTACAATTCTATACCAATGCTCTACCAACTTTTATAAGATGGAAACAGAGGAGTTATTTCCTAACTATGAAGGCAATATCACCTTGCTACCAAAACCAGATAAAAATATTACAAGAAAACTATAGACCAGTATTTCTCACATAGATAAAAAAAATCCTCAACAAAATATTAGCAAATTGAATCCAAATATAGATGAAAAGAATCATACACCACACCCAAGTGTCCAAGACTGGTTCAACGTGGTCCAGCCCATGAACGGACTAAATTCACATTATCATAGCCTAGGTGCAGGAAAAGAATCTGACAAAATCCACACTCATTTGCAATAAAAAAATTTTAAATTCTCAGTAAACTAGGAATTGGGGCAAGAGGGATCTTCAACATGATAAAATGTATCTACAGAAACCCTACAGCCAGCCTCATACCTAATGGTAAGAAACCTGAAGCTTCCTACTATGAATGAGAACAAGAAAAAGATGTCCTTTCTCACTGTTCCTTTTCAATATTACACCAGAAGTCCTAGCTAAAGCAGTAAGGAAGAGAAATAAAAGATAATACAGATTGGGAAGGAAGAAATAAAATTCTTTTCAGCTGACACAATCATCTACGTAGAAAATCTGAAAGAACTGACCAAATAAATGAAAAGCAAAAGAAAAACTCCTGGAATGATAAGCAGTTATAGTGAGACTGCAAGATGTAAGGTTAATATATAAAAGTCACCTGCTAGCCAGGTGTCATGGGCACATATGTCATCCCAGCTCTTGGGAGACTGAGGCAGGAGGATCGCAATTTTGAGTCCTACCTGACCAACTTAGTGAGACCATGTCTCAAAATTAAATAGCAAAAAGGGGCTGGGAAGGGCTGGGGATTTAGCTCAGTGGTGCCGCCGCCTGCCTCACAAGTGCAAGGTCCTGAGTTCAATTCCCAGTACCAAAAAGCAAAATGCAAAAGGGGGCGCCTGGGGAATGTACCTCAGCCTAAAGGCCCTGTGTTTAATCCTCAGTACTGTGAAAGCAAACAATGAAGATGAGTTGCTTATTACTAGCAATGAACAAGTGAAATTTGAAAGGGAAAGAATACCATTTAAATTAACACCCCAAAGAAATAAGCATGAATCTAACAGAATATTTGTAAGATTTGTATGAGGAAAACTACAAAACTCTGATGAAAGAGATCAAAGCCCAAAGTAAATGAAGAGATATTGCATATTTAGGAAGGTTTGATACCATCAAGATGACAGCTATTTCCAACTTAGCTACAGATTCAATATAATCACAATAATAATTCCAGAGTTATTTTGGGGTTTTTTGGAAAAATTGATTGAAGTTTATAGACAGAGGCAAAAGACCCAGATAGCCACAAAATATTGAACAACAACAAAGTAGGTACTGATACTATTTGACTGCAAGGTTTACTGTGAAGCTACAATAATCAAGACAGTGTGGTACTGGTGAAATAAAAGACAAACAGAT